CTTAGCTAAATTTTTCATAAGTCGAGAGTTGAAGCGATGACTCAATTCTAACGCGAGAATTGAAACAGACCCTTAATATCTTCAGAATATCTCTCTCAATCTCTGCGCTTATTTTTCAAAATCAAAACAGTTTTCAAAATCAAAGATAGACTTTGGTCTAGATTGTTGTTGCGATTAAACATGTGGGAGGAAGATTTGGCTTATTGAAAGCACATTCGACTTCCTGGGAACACACTTGATGAGAAAGCTTCGCCAAGAGGGATTTTAGATCGGAATTGACGGTTATATAAGAAACAATCTGAGTCGGTCGCCACAAATTTAAACGGTAATTGATCTACGACAATTGATGTTGTTAGAATCAATTTTCGAAGCCGGAATCAAAGATTGCCTTGGGTATTCGGTACAAGATAGAGTCACGGGGATTGCCCTTGTAGACAAAGTAACCTACGTGAATCCCGAAGGGAAAATCTAATTCAATGATCAAAGGGGAATTGAGTCAAAGCAAGGCTTGAGGTTACTTTTATCGTATTTATTCAGAATCTTTATTCTCTTATTTTTTACTTAAATTGCTTTTATTTATTTAATCACTTTTATTATTTAAATATCTATTTACCAAACCCCCCATTTACTACTTTTACGCCTCGAGTAAACCAATCAGACATAAATTAAGAATTTTCTAAGCCCTGTGGATTCGACCCTTACTTCTCTATACTGCGAATTTCCTTATTTATTATCCGAGAATAAGGAATTTTATTTTGACATCGAAACGATAGTTGTCAAATTGACGTCGTTGCCGGGGAGATAGTCAAATTGGAAGATTCGGCTTATTGAAAGCACATTCGACTTCCTGGGAACACACTTGGCAAGATAACTTCGCCAAGAGGGATATGAGATCGGAATTGACGGTTATAGAAACAACAATCCGAGTCGGTCGCCACGAATTTAAATGGTAAATGATCTACGAAAATTGATGTTGTTAGAATCAATTTTCGAAGCCAGAATCAAAGATTGCCTTGGGTATTCGGTATACAAGATAGAGTCACGGGGATTGCCCTTGTAGACAAAGTAACCGACGTGAATCCTGGAGGGAAAATCTAATTCGATGATCAAAGGGGAATTAAGTTAAAGCAAGGCTTGATGCTACTTTTACCGTATTTATTCACAATCTTTATTCTCTTATTTTTACTTAAATTACTTTTATTTATTTAATTGCTTTTATTATTTAAATATATATTTACCAAACTCCCCGTTTACTATTTTCACGCCTGGAGTAAACCAATCAAACATAAATTAAGAATTTTCTAAGTCCCTCTGGATTCGACCTATACTTCTCTACACTACGAATTTCCTTATTTATTATCCGAGAAGAAGGAATTTTATTTTGACATCGAAATGACAGTTGTCAAATTAACGCCATTGCCGGAGACTTCGCCAAAGTTACTAATTTTTGTTTGTTTTTTATTTATTACCAGGACTAATCCGGGCACATTAGTGGAGTACGACCCGGAGATTGAAGCCAAAGCTAGGATACTCCACGTACAGACACTTCGGGAAAGAAGGAGACAACAATTAAATCCATAAGAAGAATCAAATTCAAGTGAATCCGTTAATACAATTCCGATGGCCGATCCAACTATCCAGGAGTTAGCCGAGGCACCTACCGAACAAGGGCCTTTGTGCATTGATTTTCCCCAAAGTGAAACTCCATACCAGTTGAAAATCGGCCTTATTTCATCTCATCCCTACATTCCGCGGATTGCCAAACGAGAATCCACACAAACATCTCATGGAATTTCATATGGTCTGTACCAGTATGAGACCACAGGGTGTAACCGAGGACCAAATCAAATTTAGAGTTTTTTCTTTTTCTTTAGCCGATTCGGCTAAGGAGTGGTTATTTTATCTTCCCCCTGATTCTGTTACTACATGGGCTCAAATGACTCGTCTTTTTCTTGACAGGTTTTTCCCTACGGCGAAAGTAAGTGAACTACGGAGAAGAATAATTGGAATCAAGCAGGTTGATGGAGAGTCACTTTACGACTACTGGGAGAGGTTTAAGAAGTTGTGTTCTAGTTGTCCACAACGTGGATTAACTGAACAAACACTCCTTCAATACTTTTATGAAGGATTAACTCCCCTGGAGATGAATATGATCGATGCTGCCAGCGGTGGAGCGTTGGTGAACATGACTCCTACTGAGGCTAGGAACTTAATTTCCACAATGGCCGCAAATTCCCAACAGTTTCGCGCAAATAATGAACCTTCTCGAAGGGTTCATGAGATAAGTTCATCTTCCTTAGAAAATAAGATAGATAAGTTAACTGAAGTCGTCAACTCTCTTGTTGCAGGAAAGACAAGACCAAACAGATCATGTGGAACATGTGTATTACCTGATCATCCGACAGACGGCTGTTCATTGATTCAAGATGACGCAACAGCTCAAGTCAACGCAGTCGGAAACTTTCCAGGACCTCCCCAAAGAGCTTACAATACCTACGATAATACATATAACCCAGGATTGAGGGATCATCCGAACTTCAGTTATGCTCAGAACTCAAGACCGAATCAAGGTTATCAAGCGAGACCACCTCCACCACCACAACAACCGCAGAAGACATCATTAGAGTCAATTTTTGAGAGGTTAGCACTTTCCCAGGAAAAATTCCAAACTCGTACTGAAGCCCACTTCCAAGAGATTGACAAACAGAGAAGCCAACTGGCTCAAACCATAAGCCGCTTGGAATCACAAGGTAAGCTTCCGTCTCAAACTGAGCCGAATCCAATAGAGAATGTTAGCGCCATTACCCTCTAAAGCGGTATAATTGTTGAAAAACCAGACCCACAGGAAGTAAGCACAAGATCCCGGAAGAAAGAAGAAAATTCGAACTCCCAGAGGGAAGAAGAAGCAGTTGACGTAGAATCCTAAGAAAAGAATAAAGATGAATCGAAAACTCATTTTGCGCCATCTCCCTATGCCATTTCGCCTCCGTTTCCTAAAAGATTCATTAAAAGAGACAAACAATCAGAGGAGAGAGAAATCTTGGATGCATTACGGAAGGTGAAAATAAATATTCTGCTTCTTGAGATAATCTGGAAAGTACTGAGGTATGCCAGATACCTTAAAGATCTCTGCACTAATTAATAAAAGGCGACTTGCCGAAAATGAGAAGGTGAATTTAGGTGAGAACGTCTCAGCAATTTTCCAACGACCGCTTCCACCGAAGTATAAGGACCAAGGTATATTTTCAATACCTTGTAAAATTGGCGAGGTTAAAATCAAATGAGATATGTGCGATCTAGGTGCCTCTATCAATATAATGACTCTCTTCGTCTATAATTTAATTTTCACCAAGCCTTTGAAGGAGACGAGAGTTACACTTCAGCTCGCCGACAAATCAATTATTTATCATGAATGACTCATAGAAAATGTTCTAGTAGAGGTAGAAGACTTAATTTTCCCTGCTGATTTTTATGTGATTGATATGGAAAATGATTATAGCAACATTGGTTCTGAAATTGGTGCCTAACGTTATATTTTTTATTTTTTTAAAATAAAATATTTTTTTAATTAAAAAATTTAAAACTAAAAAAACTTAATTTATTTATAAAAAATCCCCAAATTTTTACTAAAATTATAAAAAAATCTAAAAAACTAAAAAACTAAAATCTCTAAAAATCTAAAATCTCTTATTGCAACCCTGTTACCAACCGTCGCCAGTTATCTCCGGCCACCATTGTCATCGCCGAGCTGTCACCCACCCGTCGTTCGACCACCCATTGATCAATCTTTACCCTTACCGTTACCCAAATCCCCTAAATCTCTAATCCCCAATACCCAAATCCATAACCTTTAAAATCATAATCTCCACGATGGAAAGTCAAAGTAGCACCGACGGAGCTACGGTGAGTATGAGTTTTGAGCGGAATTGCACGGTGGTTCAAATGGTGGTGTGGCTTACGGATGTCAGGATCGACCGGAATCAACGACATTGGCTTAAAATCTGACGAATCTTTGAACGTTTTTCCACGACAAACGGTGATAGCTTATGACGAAAGTTCAACGGGGGTATGATCGGGGGTCGACGGCGGTGATGGTCACGGTTTGCAAGCCGGTGACCATGGAATGGGGAAGGGGGTTGCTACTGTTGGGTTTTTTTTAATAAAAAATATTTTTATTTTTTAAAATAAATTCTAAAATTTACCAGAGCTTGAAACGTGTCATTTAATGGTCAAATTTAACGGCGTTACAATCCAGACACCTAAAAGTGTTCCGATGAAAACGTTAGACACCTAATTTAAGTGAAAATTTCTTTAGGCACTAAAACATTTTTCGAGACAAAATTTAGGTACTTATTTTTGTATTAATATTAAATTTTATGTGGAGTTTAAGTTTAGATTAAGTAATTCAATTATTTAAATTTAAGTTAAGTTTATTAAATATTTTGATTATTTAAACTTGGATTTTATTTGGTCGAATTATATATTCCTATTGTCAAATTTTCGGCTTACTAAGAAGTAATCAAAGTTTGAATTGGGATGAATTAATGGAATTATTTAAAATTGAGTCAAAATAGACTGCCTTCATGTTATATGTACCTATCGACTGATCAGAGAAATGGAATTATTTAAAGCGTTAGTATTTTAAATACTATAAAATCTAATTCCATATACTTGTCATGTTCTGCAGGGATGCGTATATTGCTTTATACTTTAAAGCCTTCACCAACTTTTCATTGTTTGTTTCACGAGAAAATTCAACAAATTATTAGTCAGAAAGACTGCTAAGTAATCTACTCATGACTCAACTTCTGTCAAACTAAATATATTAAGATAATGTTTTAGAGGCACCAACATTGAAGGAGAGAGTAGAAAGAAAATGGACCTTTCTCAGTATATTTGCATATTTTATACTTCAAATATAGTAAAAATATCTTCAATTTACGTTGTCTTTTTTGACTTTAATGATCAATCTTCTATCTATAAATACATGCATCAATTGCATACTTACTCTCATCCCGAATCTCTGTTTTTAACCTTATAAACAGTAGGCAAAGGCAGCAAACCAATCTTTGTGTTATTTGCTTCCAAGAACCCTACTCCTTCCCTTCAAGCTATCTTTGATAATGGCTTCAACACAAGTTTCACAAGTTGCTGCTTCATCCCTTCCCGTCATTCCAACGGACACTGAAAACCGGCCCAAGGCCGACTTTCATCCCGGCATTTGGGGTGATATGTTCATTCAATGTCCCAATATGGTAATCTATAATTTCTTTTATTCTTTTTACAAATTTCTTTATCTATCTTTGAGTTTTGTTTGCTGAGATTTGATTGTCCTACTTGAGCAGGATATTGATGCTGCAACTGAATTACAATTCGAAGAATTGAAAGAGCAAGTGAGGAAGATGATTGTGGGACCCGTTGATGATTTGAACCAAAAGCTGGCCTTCATTGATGCAGTTCAAAGATTGGGTGTAAGTTATCATTTCGAGAAAGAGATTGACGATGAACTTGAGAATATTTACCATGACATGAAGAGCGATGATGTTGAGTATGATCTCTACACCACAGCTCTTCGATTCCGATTACTAAGACAACATGGCTACCGTGTTTCCTGCGGTAATTTAGTCTTGAACTTTCATACTTTTAAGATTATTGAACCGTAATTCGTAATTATCAACACACAAAAAACTTAGAAATATAAATATATTGATGTATTGATGATGACTTGGGGTGGTGGAGCAGAGGCATTCAACATGTTCAAGGATGTGGAAGGGAATTTCAAGGCATCACCGGCGAGTGATGTGCGAGGATTGTTGGAACTTTACGAAGCTTCCCATATGAGGATCCAAGGGGATGATATACTTGAGGAAGCCATTTCTTTCACCAAAGCTCAACTTACCCTCTCATTACCAGCATTAGACCATCTACTGTCGGAACAGGTCGATCACGCCTTAAAGCAGTCGATCCGAAGGGGGTTGCCGAGGGTTGAGGCCCGGAAATTCATTTCCGTATATGAAGACATCGAATCCCATAACAAAGCACTGCTTCAGTTCGCAAAGATTGATTTCAACTTGCTGCAACTTTTGCATAGGAAAGAGCTAAGTGAGATCTGTAGGTAAGTTTTGCTATGAAGCCTAACCCTTTATTCATAAATCATCCTGTTGTTGTTTAGTTTCTATTTCTTACAAATGAATTGAAAGCCAGATTTTTATGATTCTTTGAAGGTGGTGGAAGGATTTGGACTTTACAAGAAAGCTGCCATTTGCAAGAGACAGAGTGGTGGAAGGGTATTTTTGGATTATGGGAGTTTACTTTGAACCCCAATACTCTCTTGGGAGAAAGTTTTTGACAAAAGTCATAGCAATGGCTTCCATTGTGGATGACACATATGATTCATTCGCAACATATGATGAACTCATTCCCTATACAGATGCAATTGAAAGGTTGGATTTCTTGCATTATAAGTTAACATTCATTTTGTGATATTTAAATCCTAGACTTGTCGGATATTATGACCGAATGAAGCGTTGGGTTTGAAATTAATTTTCACATTGTGTTTCAGGTGGGATCTTAAATGCATGGATCAACTCCCGGAGTACATGCAAATAAGCTACAAGGCACTGTTGGACGTTTATGAAGAAATGGAACAATTATTGGTAGATAAAGAGAGACAATATGGAGTCGAGTACGCTAAAAAAGCGGTACGTAACAATACAATCTTGTATAAAAAATCCGAAACGTTCGATAATAATTATATTGTGAAATTAATGCTCTCAACCCTCAGATGATACGCCTTGCTCAAGCTTACCTTTTGGAGGCGAAATGGACGCATCTAAACTATAAACCAACCTTCGAGGAGTTTAGGGATAATGCATTGCCGACCTCGGGCTATGCCATGCTTGCCATCACGGCGTTCGTCGGGATGGGCGATGTTATAACCCCCGAGACCTTCAAATGGGCAGCCAATGACCCTAAGATCATCAAAGCCTCCACCATTATTTGCAGGTTCATGGACGACATTGCTGAACACAAGGTATACTTGCTATATACCCACCCACATTCCTAGATTCTAAACTTTTGGGGTATGCATTTGCTAAATGAAGACATGTTCCATATGGGTGCAGTTCAACCACAGGAGAGAAGACGATTGCTCGGCCATCGAGTGTTACATGGAACAGTACGGCGTGACGGCACAAGAAGCATACGATGAATTCAACAAACACATCGAGAGTTCATGGAAAGACGTAAACGAAGAGTTCTTGAAACCGACGGAAATGCCGACACCGGTTCTTTCCCGGAGTCTCAACCTTGCGAGAGTTATGGATGTGCTTTACAGAGAAGGCGATGGTTACACGCATGTTGGGAAAGCTGCTAAAGGAGGGATCACTTCTTTGTTGATCGATGCAATCCCACTTTGAACATTCAAAATTTGACCTCTCTTCTCAAGATGATTTTCTACCAACTACTATTCATAAAGTTTGTACTGAACTGAAAAGAAAAGTCTAAATTTATAATTTGTTTTTCTTTTATGTACAAAGGAATGAAGAAATCAATACTCTTTGTTCTTTGCAACTTTTCAATGCAATAAAATTATTTTGCATCCATTTTTCTTTACCGTGCAATATTTGTTAATTTTTTTTTTGGCAAAGTAAAAAGTATAAATATATTCTACGTTTTCAATTTTAATAGCATACTTTTTCATATAAATTTTTAATTCTTTTAGAAAGTATTTTTCCTTGGTCCTTAAATAATGGTAAGCAGGTGCTTTGGTCCCTTTGGTTATATAATGCAATTACTGTTTTAGTCCTGTCCTTAAATAGTGATAATAAAAGGACAAATTGGCCTTTGTTCATTATCTATCGTTTGCGTGCATGGTTTTGATGAGACAAACATTGCTATGAAACTAATCAAGGGTGCCATTGTCGGATGTCCCAGCCCTGGCTTCAGGTTGGAGTCACCTTTAATCCAACCGAACAAGGTACCGGAATGGGAACCTGGATCCGAACCAGAGAAGCTTTGTGTAGACGACATGTTAGATGTATATTGCGGAGAATTCGGGCCATGGCAATTGCGACACTTTGTTTTAACGAGCCTAGCATGGGCGTTGGAAGCTTTCCACACCATGGTTATGATATTTGCCGACCAGGAACCCGCTTGGCGGTGCGTAAAAGGGTCGGGATCACTGTGTGACAAGAAGGTGGCAAGTGTTTGTGGGCTTGAACCAGGGTCTTGGGAATGGCAGGGTGGTTCGGAGAGCTCAACCGTGGCTCAGTGGGGATTGGTTTGTGGGGAGAAATATAAGGTTGGGCTTGTTCAAGCCCTGTTTTTCGCTGGCTGCATGATTGGTAAAATATTTTACACACAAAACGGAAAAATCGGATATAAATTCTTAAATTATCATGTATAAACCATATCTGAATGGATGATTAAATTCAATTTTGGTACATAAAAATTGTCAGGTGCAGGAGTATTTGGTCGTCTATCAGACGTGGACCTTGGAAGAAAAGGTTCATTAAAAGTAGTTTGCATCTTAAATGCCATCTTTGGTTGCCTAACATCATTAGCCCCCGACTACTTCACATATATGCTGCTCAGGTTCCTAACAGGGTTCAGCACTGGTGGCGTCGGGCTCTGCTCCTTCGTGTTAGCCACCGAACCAGTCGGTCCAACCAAGCGCAGAGCTGCCGGCATGACCACGTTCTGTTTCTTTCCAACCGGTATTGCCTCACTTGCAGGCATTGCTTACGTTTTCCTACATGGCGTACTCTTTATGTCGCCTCCTCCATCCCCTCCATCCTTTTTCTCCTCCTCGTCATTCCGTTCATTTCCGAGTCCCCGCAATGGTACCTTGTTCGAGGCGAAATGAACGAAGCGATGAAGATCATGCAGGCTATAGCAAAATCTAATGGAAATAATCTCCCCGAGGGGGTAATCCTAGCACTGGACGATGAAGTTAATGATGCTTCGAATGATAATTGTTCCAAGGAAGAATCCGGCCCTGTCGTCGATGTAATCCGATCACCGATCACCCGTTTTCGACTATTCGTAGCTGTCACGATCAACTTCACGTGCTCGGGTGTGTACTATGGCCTTAGCTTGAATGTTGTGAACCTAGAGACAAACCTTCACCTAAGTGTCCTACTCAATGCCGTGGCTGAAATGCTTGCGTTCATAATAACAGCAGTTCTATTGGACAGATTCGGGAGGAAGCCATTGGCAGTTGGGTCACAATGGATCAGTGCTATATTCTGTTTGACGGGGTGTGTAGTGGGAAACGTTGGAATATGGAAAGTGATCAAATTGTGTTGTGGGGTTTTGGGGATATTTGGGATGGCTGCAACGTACAATCTGTTGTTTATCTATACGGCTGAGATTTTCCCCACGGTGGTGAGAAACACGGCCCTTGGAAGTGCAACTCAGGCGGCCCAAATGGGGGCCATTTTGGCACCGTTGGTGGTGGTTTTGGGTCGGGTTCTTCCGTTTCTGGTGTTCGGGTTATGTGGACTGTTTGGTGGGTTGCTTGCGTTTTACCTGCCGGAGACGCTGAACAAGCCATTGTACGATCCTATGGGAGAAGGGGAGGCTGATTGGAGAATCACTTGAAACTATAATTACTGTATTTTTTTAACCACTTTTTACCTTTTTTTCTCCCAATTTTTGACACTGATTGTTATGTTCATGACATTTTTTTAGCATTGTAAAGTATTTAATTTTATTAAATGATTGATATTTAAAGAAAATAATGGAGCATGACTATGACCCGTAGTTTTATTTTCGGTTGTTTACAAATTGTTGTTGTTTTCACTTCAGCATGAAGTTTCTAAGAAATCGGCACTTGATTTGTAATTTTAGTTGGAAAATTGGTTAAATAAACAATCGAGTGAGAATCTCACAGCCTGATGAGTTAACGTCAGGTAAACAAGGCCAATATTGTTAGAACCGAAATCATAATAAATATGAAAATAACCAGAATCTGACCATGTCAAACCATCAACAATAATAAATACTAGATTTACGAAAGTGTGCCTGAAGTAATCGATAAGTTGAAATCCTGGAGTGTATCTTTAGTTGTGATCTTACAAGAAAATATAGTTCCCTTAAATATAAATTCTCTAACGAAGATGAGAGCAAACACGAGAACATCTATTTCTTAGGGTCTATGACCCCTTTATATAGCTGATTTAAGAATCAGTCATTGTATGTACTTATAACTATACCCCTTATCGAATTATAAATATAATTATAACGGTATTTATAATTTTATTTTTGCGACGCTTATAATATCTTATGACTTTATAACATAATTTATTACTTAATTTATGTTATATTTTATGATAATAATATACATTAAAAATATATACTCATAATTATGAATTTTAATCCAACAAATATTGCCTGTTTAGGTGTGTTACATAAGGCATGCAACATGGAATTGACAATAAGCATTTGGAACTCCATTTTCATTGTTAAATTTCTAGCAATTTCCCGTTTTCACTGTTTTAGATGTACATTCAGTACAACTTTTAAGCCTTCAATCACGGGGGTGTTAAATTATCTGAATTCAAAACGATTTTATACCCTCGATTTCCTTTAAGAAAATAATCGGAGTAAATATGAGGGGGAAAAAAGATAATTATTGTAATATTCTTTTTTATATATATATTTTAAATATCTTCTATTTTTATTGGATAGGAAATGATGATAATTATTTATGTTCCTCTTTATAAAATTTTTAATTCTGTTTAATTTCGTAGAATAAAAATAGGAAAAAATATTTTGGGTCAAGTCAGAGAGATTTTAAGGGTTTAATGTCATAGTTGAGATTGATGAAAAATTAAAAAATGTGAGTGAAATCAAGTTCGAGTGAAAATTCTGAATTTTAATGAAAAATTATCAAATGTTAGGTTAATCTAATTTGATTGAAAATTTTAAATATTTTAACCCGATCGAGATAATTAAAAGTCGGACCTATACCCATCCCTAACTTGAGTGACAAGCTATGAATGCCAATTTTGGATTTTGTAATATTTAACATGTATAAATTTGAACGGATGGTATGCTCATCACTAACTTAAGTGACAAGCTATGAATGGCAATAGAATTAAAGGATGGTATGCTCAACCCTAACTTAAGTGACAAGTTATGAATGAATGCCAATAGAATTGGATTTTGGAATATTTAGAATGTCTAATTTTGAATGGACGGTAATGGTGTGCTATTGTAATGTTTAGAATATTTAAATCTGATTTATTTATAAAAAAAAATCTGAATTTATTTATAATTTACATGGTAGCTAAATACGTTTATAATAAATGGATTTAGCTCCCGTGGCAACTTTAGCAGTACACCATTATCATCATCCACAAAAGCATCCGATTCAAAAATGAAAATATTTTGTTTTGTAAGATAGACGAATTCGCAGACTTCAAATCTAGACTCGTTTAAGAAGCACAACCATAATAACCATCACGGCCAATCCCACCAGGCCGGCTCCGATCGTCTTCTCGAAATAGTTCAATCCGGCATTTCCTTTCTCCACTCCAGCAGAGGGTAAAGTAAAGAGGTTCTGAAGGAAATCCGTTGCTTTATTAGCCATCTCAGCCACACTAGTCTTGAAGTTCTCCACAAAATCCAGAAATGGATTCCCGACTTGATTTGCATCGAAATATTCTTCGATCTTTACCGAAGAAGGCTCACAACCACCGGGGGATCCAATATTTTCAAATGCATAACCTGCAACACATTCTTTTAAATTCATGAAAAAAAGAGTAAGAGAAGCATCAAATATCGAAACCGATACGTAAAATTCTCACTGGTCTTATGAGACCGGATGAAGTCCATGTAAGCCGGATTGTGCAATACAGCATTCCATACATTTGGATCCGCAGCAATTGACGCAACCATAGACTGGGAGCAAAAACAAAACCATGTACTTTTGCAGAACATAACAACATTATAAACTTTCTGTAATCTGTATGAAAGATTTCGTATTCAAACATGTCGAAAACCAACTCGAAGACCAGACATGGTCAGGAAGACGTGTCTGACATAACTCATATCACAAGATCCAACATTTTTAGAGGAAATTAATCTAATGGTTTCGTCATGATAAAGAAATCATGACAGAAATCGAAAGAGTTAAACGACAACCTGAACTGCAGGGCTTTCATTGAGTAATTTGAATGCGTGAACAGCAGGCTTTGGTGCTAAAGTGGCTTTAACATCATATGCAATGCAATCTTTAGTTTCCTCTGAAATCAATGATGAACGAGATGAATGAGCATCATCGGTCCAATTTGGAGACGATATATAAGCCCTGAAAACAAAAAACACGAAACCGCAAAAAATATTATGTAACAGATCATGAAAAGCAATGTAGTTAGAACATCAAGAACTTAAAGCGATACATAACTTAGAAGATTCAAGTTTTCTAGTCTGGGGCTATTGAAAATGATGTGCCCCACTTTATAATTTCAGAATTTTCATGAAATTCAACATCTAAATCGAAGGAAAGTGATGATAATTCGTATATCAGAATACTTCATTTCAAATTTCGAAAAGATGGATCTTGTATTGAATGAATGGATCCAATGAAAGAAAAGAATAAAATTTTGTCAAAGCAATGATCTTTACTTATCCAATGCATCTTTCAAATCAGTAGTGGCTTCTTTAGCCTCCTCAAGGGTTGGAACACCGCCGAACAACACCCGAGCAATCGGCTTTCCTCCGACGGAAATGGCGGTGGGCGCCTCCTCTTCAATACCTTCAGCAAACTCCCAATCGTCCACCAATTCCCATGACGCCATCTGATTGACCGACGCCGTCATTTCAGAAGCCGAACAAGCTCCACCGCCAGAAACAGGAATTCCGGAAGAACCCGAACGAGAAGCAGCGACGCGCACGACGGAGTACTCCGCAGACGAAGGAACCACCTGAACACCGCCAGGAAGGCCGGTGTTAACAATACCGGCCCCTGCGACCTTCGCTGCCGCCCTCATTACTCCTCCTCCCATTTTGGTAATTCGAAGAAAAATTTTAAAGATTTCGGAGAAATTAAGGAAACTATGGATAACATTCTGTTATTCAGACATTGGTTATTTAAATAAATCATTTTAAAACCTTTTTTATTTACTAAAATAATACTAATAATTTTTTGTGTTTTAAAAAAGTATTAATTTTTGTAAAGAAAATTATAAAATATTAAAAAATATACGTATGGTAATATATCATATTTTGTAACAAAACTTCCATTAATTAAATACATTTGCTGCTTGAATAAATATATAATTTTTGGATTTAAATGTATCTATTTCAACAGAATAATAAAAAATTAAAAACTTATATCAAGAGTAATATACTTAAGAGAAAAGAGAAAGGAACAGGGGAGGGGAAAGTTGAGCTGATTGAAGATTAGATGGAAATAGTGATGGACTTAGGGGAGGCTGTCGCCTTCCCTAAAATATAAAATTATCATACATTTTAATTTTTTTCTGTTTATTTTTAATTGAAAATAGCCTTCCCTAAAATATAAAATTATCATACATTTTAATTTTTTTCTGTTTATTTTTAATTGAAAACATATTTTCACTCTTCTAAAATTTTATAAATTTAAGTTCGCTCCCTAAATTTAAAATCATTCGCCTGTCAGGAAAGCTTGGAGTGCAATATATTGAAGACTTGAGATTTCCAAGATAGGAGTCCCTTGTAATGAAAAGACGTAATGTGGTCGTGAAAGGGGAGGCATTCCAAATCAGTTCAGTTCAGGGCTTTGGAACTTATGGCCATGCCAAGGTTTCCCAGAAGCTTGGGTAGGGGTATAATTGTCAATTCAATCACAATATCTATAAATGTGTATGAAAGTTTATTATCAAATAATTGAGTCTTTAAAACAGATATTACCTTGTATTTATTTTAGACTAAAAAACAATGTACATAAGTTTCTTTAAGGGAAGGTCCCATGAAAGTCGTATTGGTATCTATCATCATGGAGAAGTTCTGATGATCCTGCTCCAGGAAGCCTTTACATTCGGACTTGATTTCCAGACTTGGTTTTGAAAGAAGGCTCCTCGGTGCGATTTCATTCCAGTGAAAAGGAGTTATACAACGGATACATCCATGGCCTTGGGCATAGCTCAATTCTTACAAGATTAGTGATTAGTCATAATGGAGATTTGAGGCATTTCAAATGGACTGATCAACCCCGACGCTGGGTGCATTATCGTTCAACTCAAGAGGCTACTTGTGACGGTTTCGGATTGTGTGGCGCAATTGCCGTCTCCAATCCTAATAACTCCCCCATTTGTGCTTGCTTGGATGGATTCGTGCCAAAAGAAACAAGGCGGAATGGGATAAAAGACCAGGGTCAGGTGGTTGCATTAGAAAGACACACCTGAGCTGTGGATATGGATTTAAGGAGATCCAGGGAGTGAAGTTTCCATACTCAGCATCCTATGTATCACGGGTACGGCAACTTAGTGGCGTACCAAGTACCTGATATGTCCCTAACATGGGTACGGAACGAGTACAACTTGGGTACATACCGTGGATATCCCATTTTCAGGGGGTACGACTGAAATTAATCGGGTATGTTAAAGAGATTTTCAGGGACGTATCGGGAGACATATTTGATATTCATGTGCATACCTGAAATTATTTTTAAGATTTAAACACTAAAAAAGATATAGATAAATTATGATATGATTTTATTGTTTTAATTAGGATTTAATTTCTTTGACTTATTTTTCAGATTCGAAAAGTTGATAGACTAATTATGGTGTCAAAACTCCATTACTCTAATTTTTGTCTTTCAAAATTTTTGGACAATCTACTTCATCTAGGGACGGAAAAATCCCCATATTCACCTAATATTTTCATATTCACTATTTACCCATCACCCGAGATGAGTAAAAATTTTAAATCCACACCGTCCACGCAAATATATTCTCAAATCCATCCCCACTCCAACTACCCAACTGGACAACCACCATCAATCTCATACCCGTCTGTATCTGCCAGTACCCCTCTATACCCACCAATTTGAGATAAGAGAAACAATGGCCTTCAATTCTAAAAATGTTTATACCATAACATTTGGTTAAATTACAAGTCATGTCCTATAAAATCTAAAGATTTACATAATAGTCTTTAGAATTATATCTAAATTCATAATGGTCCAAAATTTATATGGTAAGTAGTTAGTGGGCGGGCGGATGTGGGGCGGGTGGATGCGGGGTGGGTGCATACGAGACGGGTAAGGTCTCAAACCCATCACCTACCCACTACCCACGGCGGATATGACTTCTTACATCCACACGCGCTCACTACCCACTAAACTTATATCCATCCCCGCTCTAATTGGAACGGGTACAATGCAAAACCCACGAAATTGTACTCGTCTGTCATCTCTAACTTCATCCTTGTTATAGGCATAATAATCCGAGACGATACAACAAAATAATAATTAAAAAAGTGAATAAAGTACATTAATTTGTACCAAGGTGTCATGTCACCTTTAACGCATGTAATACCGAATAATTGGTATGTAACGACAAAACCAAATACAACCAAGAAACATATTTGTAATTTTTTTTCATGGTGATTCAACATATTGTAGCAAAGGACGATCAACACCACGGTAGGATCTCGTCGCAAAATTCATGTACATAAAACAAGAATAAAACAAAACGATTAATAACATAGAAAAATATTCTATTTAATAATCAAAAGGAGTATAGAATCAATGATTGGAACCGAGTCGACGCCTACAACTATGTAGTTTCCTTAAGACAGATTTTCGGCCACTCTTTGGTTCTTGAGATCATTGGTCGTCTATCTCCCATGATACAATAACAAGATGATCAGCGTACAACAACACAACTGTCGATATCACGAACTATTCCTTGTTTTCTCCTATCACAAAAAACTAGATAAAAGAATTCTTTTGAATTGGTTTTTGAGTTGTTTTTGAATTGTGTTTAACCTAGTAGGTTAACACAGAATTTATAGGGAGTTCACGTTGTGAACAATTGAAAATTTTTGACTTAATGAAACATTAATAAGAATCAAAGAATTAAGCAATTTCTAAAATTGTTTTGATTAAATAAACATTTTAATATTTATCATTTTAATTTCAAAACAGATTTTGAAAAAATATTCTCTATTTGAGAAAAATATCTCATATTTGAATTAAAATACCTGCAAGCCCAGAAAGAGCTAGACCGGTTCGGATATTACGTTACCCACATAGTGTACGTCTGTACATTTACGAACCAACAATTGGTTTCACATTTTCCTCAACAACGTTTGGATCAATTTCTTATTCAAAGCTATAAAATTATCAAAAGAAAATCCAACAATCCTCTTGTTGTGAAAGAAATTGAAGTACTTATTTCTTTGTTCACTCACTTAAGAGGAAATAAGTAAAATCTAAATCGTGCTGAAGATTACTTACATCCATATAGACGTCATTTTCTATCAAAGAATTCTAATTAATATGAACTTTAATGATTATTTATGATATTTTTATGTCTTTTAAAATATTAAAATTTATTTTATATTTACCATGTACTCATCGTACTGTAATGTATAATTTTAGAAATTGTCATTTCTCATACCCGTATCTGTCTCGTACTTGTATCGGTGCAACATAGTCGGCATCGGACTTTAACAGCACTATGAACCTTGAAGTGTGTAAGTCTCAGCGTTTAAAGTCCTACTCCTGCAAAGCTTATTTGCTAATTCGGATTTAGGATATGGAGGAAGCCGGGGGCAAATCTGGTTTGATTGATGAACTGACTGATATAAACAAACCCCTGGAAGAGGACAATTGATTTATATACGAATGGCCAGGTCGGAAATAGGTATGAAACTCTCTTCAACCCTCAAGTATTGAGCGTAATAATACTCTGTTGTCGCTGGAAACAGCTTAAGTTGTTCTATGAAGCACTAGTTTGGGTTTTTTGGGTACTTGCTGAAACAAAAGAACCGGCTTGAGATGCGTGGATGATGAAAATCCCTTATTCTTGTCTCCGGAATATGCCCGATCAATTCTGGCGTTTTTAGCTTCCATCTAGAGATCATAATAGGGAAACGGATCAAGTACAGCTACAGATATTTAGCATATTACAGGAAGGGCCAAGTTCCTTCTATTACATGACTTGTTTGATATTGATATGTCCATTTTTGCTCCTCATGAATAGGTGTTGAAATACTGGCACCAAGAAAAGTTCTACTTTATTGACTTGTATAGTTGGATTTACAGATGCTTATTTATTGGTCATCAATTTATTCCGTGCAGATACGCTCCATAAAGTCCAACTTTTCTTTTCCATCAAGTTGAAATTTCAAAGATGTTGTACATTTTAAGATTTCATAAATTTTGTTTATTAGATAGATTCATTTTTTAAATTTATCTGAATTTTGCAATTGAATAATTCATAATCAACACCCTCAAATGTTAAGTTAACCCTAAATGTAGACATTGGCAAATGTTGTATTAGAAAGGCATAAATTGGGGCGGTTGAGGTGGTAGATGTAGCCTTGGTCATTAAAAAGCCAAACAATTTGCAAACTTTATTGTGATATTAGGTTTTATATCAGCAAATCTGGACCACTTGCTTGATGCAGGGGAAAAATTATATGAAGAATAAATAAAAATCTAAGTATAATTGTTCTTTAATCCAGCTCTTGTTTCTTAGTATGGTGCTATCAACAAACATTTTTTTTTCTTAGAAAAATCAAAGGTGACATTCAATTGGTTTAAGATTCATAGTGGTTGCATTAGCTATGGAAATTATTTACTTGAGTTGAAAAGGAAGCAGCTTTGTAGCGTTTAGTTCTTCATCATATCAATGGAAGCCTTTGCCGTTCTTCTTCTTTGCTCCTTTTTGTTTGCTAATCTTACTATATCCACACCAGTGGACACCTTGAATGCAACTCAAATACTTAAAGATGGCGACACAATAGTTTCAGCAAGTGGAAGATTTGAGTTAGGGTTCTTCAGTCCAAGTAATTCAACCAAGAACAAGTACCTGGGAATTTGGTACAAACAAATACCACTCAAAACTGCAGTATGGGTAGCCAACCGAGAATCCCCTCTCAATGATTCATCAGCTGTTTTGAAACTCACCAGTCAAGGGATTTTAGTCCTTCAGATTCATAATGGAACCACCATTTGGCGTTCAAACACGTCGAGACTGGCTCAGAATCCGTCTGCAACGCTGTTCGATTCGGGAAACTTCGTTGTGAAAGACGAAAATGAGAGAAATCAGGAGAATTTCTTGTGGCAAAGCTTTGATCATCCATGTGATACATTGCTTCAAGGGATGAAGCTTGGGAAGGACTTAGTCACAGGCCTGGATCGATCCCTGTTTCCTGGAGAACTCCTGATGATCCTGCTCCCGGTAATTTTACGTATCGATTTGAAGTCGGTGGTTTTCCGTAACTTATACTTCGAGAAGGTTCAGTCATCCGGTTCCGACCTGGTCCTTGGAACGGTATACGGTTTAGCGGCACACCTGAACTAAAACCGAACAAGTTCTTCACAGTCTCTGTTGTGATCAATGACAAGGAAGTATATGACACATATGGTTCATAATAGCTCAGTTCTTTCGAGGATGGTGTTGAGCCATGACGGACTTTGGGAGCGGCTAACATGGACTGATCGAACCCAAAGTTGGCAAATTTTCGTGACGGTTCAAATGGACCCTTGTGATAGTTACGGACTATGTGGTGCATATGGCAGCTGCAATGCAAGCAACAGTGTAAAATGCAGTTGTCTGAAAGGATTTGTTCCGAAGTTTCAGAAGGATTGGGAGACTCAAAACTGGTCTCGCAGTTGTGTTAGAAGAACCGCATTGAACTGCTCGAGTGACGGGTTTTTGAAGTATTCGAATGTGAAGTTACCGGATTCGAGACAGTCATGGTTTAATTACAGCATAAATCTTGACGAGTGTAAGAATTTGTGTACTAGAAATTGTTCTTGTACTGCATATTCCAATTTGGATATTAGAGATGGAGGAAGTGGGTGCATGCTTTGTTTTGTTGATCTGGTTGAAATTCAACAATTCAGTGAAAATGGACAAGATTTATATTTAAGGATGGCTGCATCAGAACTAGGTATGTAAATTTCTTTCCTTGATGCTCGACAACTTGAGCTATCGAATAAGTTGAATTCGAGTATCTTTTCTCTTTAATGATTCTAACTCGAATATTTCTGGTATGATTCCAATGAAATAGAGAGTACAAAATCCAAGGACAAGGAAAGAACTTGGGTTGCATTCATCTCAATGTTATCTGCAGCAGTATTGATCCTTGGATCAACCTTGATCTTATATATTTGGAGGAAGAGACGCCATGAAAACCCTGGTAGATATGCATTACAGCACTCACAAATACACTGTTTAACACTTCCATTTGTGTTTTTTTTTTAATAATTGTTCATTAGATCTTTACAGAAACTTTTCATGATGCATCTGGTGTTTCTGTTGGCATATCTACATACCATATGTTGCTCCATCTTTTTCAGTTTTCTTCAAATACAAGACATTAATGTTCGACGCATTATGAGACATGGATATGAAGATGAGTATATATCCTTTACATTTTCTCCAACTTCTACTTTCCAGGATTGACAACATCCACATTTGTCCCTGAAAGCTGTCTCGGTGTTAAAAATCAGAACGAAGAGTTCGAGTTACCATCGTTTGATTTAGCCACAATTGTTCTCACAACTGATAACTTTTCGATCAAGAATAAACTTGGACAAGGCGGTTTTGGATCTGTCTATAAGGTAGCAATCTTGTTCAAACTCCATGTTATCTATGTTACTTAGATTATGAGTGTTAGTGTTAGATATAAATTTCGGATATGAATATTTTAACATCGGAAATGATCATTCAGAAAGACATCTGGTTGCAAAGATAAAAATATAGTTATGCAATTTTGCAGGGGTTATTGAAGGATGGGCGAGAAATTGCAGTACAGAGTCTATTGGGAAGCTCAGGAGAAGGACTTGATGAGTTCAAAAATGAAGTCATGCACATTGCAAAACTTCAGCATCGAAATTTAGTGAAGCTTTTAGGATGCTGCATACATGCTGATGAAAAGATCTTGATCTATGAATCTATGCCGAACAAAAGCCTCGACTTCTTTATTTTTGGTACAAATTTCTGATCTGAACTGCTTACATCGAGATTTATAAGATTCATTGTGTCCGTGTCCGTAATCACGCTGAACATGCCTATGGCTGACTTTTGTGTGAAAAAATCTGAACAGATGAAAGTCAGAGCAAGCCACTGGATTGGCCTATACGATATAACATTATCAATGGGATTGCTCGTGGTCTACTTTATCTCCATCAAGATTCAAGACAGAGAATAATACATAGAGATTTGAAAGCTGCTAATGTTTTCATTAGACTATGAAATGAACCCCAAAATTTCAGACTTTGGGCTGGCTAGAAGTTTTGGAGAAAAGGAAACCGAGGCAAATACAAAGAAAGTTGTGGGAACATAGGAAGTAAAAATGCGAATTCCGAAACGACTTTACCTTTAATTCAGTTAGTTCATGCTATTGTCTTGGAAATGTTTGTTCCAGGTTTGACATAAAATTTTGTAACTATCTGCAGTGGTTACATGGCTCCAGAGTATGCGATTGATGGTCTATACTCCATTAAATCTGATGTCTTCAGCTATGGTGTATTGGTGCTCGAAATCGTAACCGGAAAGCGTAACAGAGGTTTCTGTCATCACGATCATCTTAATCTTCTTGGCCATGTAAGTCTTTGTCAAACTTAAAATCATGGATTTGAACTGGAAAATAACGAACGTACCGTGTTTGATTAAGTGCTTGTTTGGTGAATGTGTAGGCATGGAGACTGTTTGGTGAAGGAAAATCCATGGAGTTGATGGCAAAAACAGTGAGGGAAACTTGCAATCCATCTGAAATGTTGAGATCAATCCATGTTGCCCTGTTATGTGTGCAGCAAAGCCCGGAGGATAGACCAAACATGTCTAGTGTAGTACTGATGTTGGGAAGTCAAGGGTCATTGCCAGACCCTAAACAACCAGGTTTTTTCACCGAACGTGATGTAGTTGAATCCACATCTTCTTCATCGAACCCCCAAAAACTCTTATCGTCAAATGATTTCACCATTACAACGCCAGAAGCAAGATAAAAGAAAAGAAATGCTAACTTTTCAATGTTGGTTTTGCTTGCCTTAATGAACTCCTTGGAATTGATCGTATTAAGTCATTGAAGCATTCTAGTATCTTTTACTGTGTTTTTTTTAATGTCTTGTATCTCTTGGTTGTGGACCAATTAACAAAATCCGAAACTCCGATTATATGGTCAATTAATGTCGATCTGTTGTGTGAGCACAGTCCGGAAGACGGACCAAACAAGTCGGATGTTATGCCGATGCTGAGTTATGATGATCCATTGCCTTTTTTTTCTCTTAATACTGCCTTTCTTAATGAACAGAAACATTTTCGTATCGGTGAATTATTAAGCTAAAAATGGAATAGTAACTTTAAGTTGTATCGACAAGTAAATGTGATAATTAACTCTTTGGTCCTTTGAAAGAACATAATCCTTCTTTCAGAATGTCGAGCAAGATGAAATTAAAAATGCCAACTTTTCAATGTTGGTTTTTGCTTGCCTTTAGTTTCGTTGTGTGTTTTTCATGCACAAGTTCTAGTGTATCTCTTTCTGGTGATGCATGTCGATCATTTCCTATCACAGACTCGAAAGCTCATTCAAATTTTATATTCCCAAACTCAATCGTATCATCCGAACTTAAAAGTGACTGTCGGTCGTGCATGTGATCTCAATTCGGATAAAAACCAATACATATATTTGGTATATTATTCCGCACAAATGTTGGAAACAAACACTCAAAAGGGAAGCTTATGAGAAATGTTCATATTGATGCAGTGCAATATGGCATCAAAGCAAACATGAATAGCTCACAAAGCTGAAGCCAAATGTTGACACCAAGATCATCTCATAGTATATAATATTGCAGTAAAACATAATCGCCTCAAGAACCTCATCAAACATACAACCACCACGTCAACGTATAACACAGATGAGAAGAAAGTAGGAGAAAAACATAGGATCAATTTTAACCATGCATTTTGATGACTTTTCTTCGCCTCACGATTGGAGCCTTCTCTAAGCTATTTCAACAACACAAGAAAAGCAAGATAATGAGATTAGATTACGGACTATTGTAAAAAGAATAACAAATATATGACATTATTTTAGATATTTTCAACACCAATAACCTTGATAGTATAAAGCTGAACTTCACTGGCAACTTGCTAAGCATCTGCAATGAAAGAAGCATTTTAAATAATTGTGTTAATTTACAAGAGGTGGTAAGTTCAACAATATCGTACAAACTGCATACATAAACCGAAGAGCAGGAAAGAAACTCGGGATGCTATGGATTTCATGACAAGCAAGATCATGTTTAGTAATTCAAGTTGCTTTCACGTGAAAACAACATAGAGATCTTTTTCATTCTAAGTCTTCTTTTTCACAACCAATGGCCTTAAATAAACAAATAAAGCAAGACAATCATGTATGATCAATCGATATATAACAGCTTCCCCCAAAATGTAAGTGTCTTTTCCCAGTGAGGCATGTCATTCAGCATCCAGACTTATCTTTTCAGTCGCAATTTACTTCTCGAAGTGGAATCCAATATTTCTATAACTTATCTTATCCACTGAATAAAGATTCCCATTACTAAAAGTCCAAGAGTAAGAATCAGACTAAATAATTATAAGTTACAAGAACATGGACGGAACTAAAACTTTCCCACCACGTATGATACGTGATACGGATCACATTATACTACCACCATGCCCTATTTATCAGTTAATGTAACAAAATCTCTGAAACCAATCAAATTAAACAAAAACGTGTCATACTTTACCGAGAAAAGACCAACCTGTGGTAACTTTTTTTTTGATAGGACAACCTATGGTAACTTAAATAATGTATCTGCCATAACAACAAACTAAGACCTTTCTCACTATATTGCATCTGCCATATTGATCACATTATGCTGCTGTGCACCTAATCATCATCTAAAACAATACAAAAACACATTAACCAAGACAAAACACTAAGATGATCACTTCCAAGAAATCAAATTTCAGTCATTCAAAAACAAGAACAAAGTATGCCGAGATCAGCTATATGGATCACATGATGCAAGTAAACTTTGCAAGAAGTGCAAATATAAAAAAATTCCGATCAAACTGAAATAAACTCAAAAGTAAGACCCCAAAAAAGAATTAACCTTTGCCATCTTTCCCTTCCACCTCAGCCTGTTTAACCGTAACCATAGGCACGCCAATCCCAGCATCTTTATCATCAGGATACCTAACAACAATCACAGGACAGACACAATGATGCACACAATAATCGCTAACACTTCCCAATCTCCCATCACTCCCTTTTTTCTCAGCTCCAAATCCTCTACTCCCCATTATAACAGCACTCAACCCCAGCCTCTCCACCTCAAGACACAATCTTTCCCTCATATCGTGATCTTTCACTATATGAATTTTGAAGTGAATCCCGGCTTCTTTCAAGGGTTTGGCCAAATCCGCCGCCTTTGACGCCGTGAAGGCATCAAAATCGTCTTCGAGTTGTTGCTGGGACTGTGGGGTCTCTGGGTTTTGCTGGGTTTGAGGAAGTGGACCCCAGTCAGCTCCGAAGAGTACTGAAGTGGGCGAAACGTGGAGCAGGACGACAGCATCCCCGGGTCTGAGGTAGTTCTGGACGGCCCAACGCACGGCAAAAGCAGACTCATCGGAGAGGTCGACGGCTACCCCGATCTTACGCCGGGCGCCGGCAGTTGGGGTGGGAGTAGCGGCGGAAGTTGGATGGTGAGGCGAAGTGGGGTGATGGATCTTGATTGTTGGAAGCTGAGGATGATCACTGTTATCTGTAGGATTCATTCTCTTTGCTCAAAACAACACAAGGAGAGAGCTTTGAGCTGAAGGGAGTGCTTTAGATAGTTTTGGAGACGAAAGTGGAAGAACTTGAGTTTCAAGAATGGGAAGGGGAGACAAGACAAAATCGACAAAAGCAAAGTGAAACGAGTTCTACTTGTCATCATCCATGGTAAAGGAATAAGGAATTGGAACCATTTTCCCCCCGTACTGGAGCTTTGGGTTTGGGTTTCCGGAGGTGTTTCAGTGGACCTTTTGTTCTTGAACAGCCCATGTCTCTTCAATGGATTATGTTTACTTTTAAATTACAAATATTGAAACCACTTGCACCAGCTTGTGGACGTGCCGGAGTGGTTATCGGGCATGACTAGAAATCATGTGGGCTCTGCCCGCGCAGGTTCGAATCCTGTCGTCCACGAATTTTAATTTTTTTTTAATTTCTTTTATCTTTTCTTCTCATTTCAAAGTCTATGCCAACATTATTACTGTTATCTAAAATTCTATATTTCTGGGGTAAAGTAAATCTATGAAAATCCAAATTTAGTCACCAAAGCCATATAAATTAGATCAATCCCTTCATTAATAAACATAAACATCTCTCTCTCTATCTTGCTAGACACAGTCCGATCTCTTAAAGGCAGAACAATTTGTTTTTCTCACAAGAAAAACAATGAGTGCACCAAAGAGAACTTGGATTGTGGCAGCATCAATCTATGCAGTTGAGGCATTGAAGGACCAAGGAATCTGCAGATGGAATTATACCCTACGCCTTGCCAAGAACAACCCCAATAGGTCCTCGCCATCTTTGCGGTCCGAGGCACGGTCGGAGACGTCACCGGCAACAGAGATGGCAATGTCCGGTAAAATGAGAGAATAGAAGAAGTCCGACAAGTCTATGAAAAAGGTCATGGAACTAAATTCACGGGGTCCCAACACAATTAGGTTCTTATGTAAGTTTCATGTAATCACCATTTTTAGCTGCAGTAGCCCCTCCATCCAGCAGCTTCCAATACTGCCATCATCTCCCTTCCACGTTGCAACTCACCCGGCAGTTCCAACAAATTCCAGAAGAAGCCAGCTGCTCCTCCATACGTCGAAGCCCTATGGTGAATCACCACCATAGCTATGGTGACTCACCGAATGGCCACTCTTGTTACCGGTCTGAATGGCGTACGTGGTGGCCTATAAATAAGGTCACCAAATCTGCAAAAAAATAGGACACCAACACCGACGGAGAAGCAAGCTACCAACGATCCCAGACAACTACAAATTGGAAGAAAATAGAAGAAACCGAGGGACTTACCACCGAGGAGAGTCCAAACATCATCGGAGACGTTGTTCCAACCGAGGTAAAAGCTTCGGTTTTTCTTAGATTTAGGGTGATCTAAGAGTTTTCAGGAGGATTAAAGGCCCGATTCGGTATTAGGATTGAAAAAAGAGAAATTCATGGTGGTCGGCGGTGGCTGTCGTGGCCAGATTAAGGCGGCCGACGATCGGCCTTCCTCCGGACGGATGCTCTTAGAGAGATGGGAGAGAGTTTTTTCATCTCTCACTTAGAGATAGATTAAAAAATGAAAAATGAGAGGATATGGCTTTTTTAGCTTATTAAGGGTATTTATACCCTCACCAAAACGACGTAGTTTTGGTGAGGGCCTCTGTGTAATTTTCCTCTTATGAAAACTAGGTACGCAGTTCCTATAATTTATTATCTTTACATTATGGTCACTGAAATCAAGTTTCGGGATATTTTAATGATCTTTGAATTTTATTTATTTATAATTTAGTCATTAGTGTTATTTATATAATATTTAGGATAAATACTCATTTTAGTCCCTTATATTTTTTAATTTTTATTTTAATCCCGAATAATTGATTAATGTCAAATTACACTTTTAGGATATAGATTTCTTAATATTTCGAATTTGTATCTTTAATTTCAATACTTTATATTTTGATCCTGTAATTTTAATTTTATTTTTTATCACTATTCAATTGCTATTTAATTTTATTTTTATATATATTTAATTTAGTAATTTAATTATAATTTTATTTTTATTTTATTTTATTCATATAAACATATATATATATATTAGATAATAATATTTATTTATTTATTTTAATATTAAGAAAGAGGTTGTCTTAAAATAACTAGATGTCATTTTCTGATATTTTTAAATAAATAAATATCCTACTTTTATAAATTATATTTAATTTAATTTAATTTAAATTATTATTTATTTATTTTTAATATTAAGAAAGGGGTTGTCTTAAAGTAACTAGATGTCCTTTTTTGATATTTTTAAGTAAATAAATATATTATTTATAAAACTCTAAAAAATATATATTTACTTTAGTTTTATAAAAATTATTTTAATATATCTTTCTTTTAGAATTATTCGATTGAATCTAAAATAAGAGGATCATAAATTAGATTTATATTCAAATTCTTAAAATTCTATTATTAGAGACAATTTATAATCGACAGGGATCAATTTTGAGCGTTGTGGAGTGCTAATTGTAATACCCCAATTTAGGGGCTAAATTTAAGAAATTATAAAGTGATGAATTTAATTGGTATTTTTAGAAGAAATTGGGGATTAAATTGTAAAATTTCAAAGTTGGCAGACCATTTTAAAAAGTACATGAAGTTTAGTAACTAAACTCTTTGTTTACCCATTTTTTTATATAGGATGAATTATAAAAACACCATGTGCACAGGTTTTTGCATAATATTTTTCCAGTTTTTTCTCTCCAACAACCCTCTTTTCAACTCCGATCTACTCGCCGTCCGACCTCCGATCGACGAACCAAAACTACCATAGTGTTCGTTGTCGACCGAGGAACAAAACCCCTCAAATCTTTTGTCGTGAATCGTCGTCGTTCGTCGTTAATTTAAGTCGGAAGTATCGTCAATAATAACTCAATTTCAGTTGGTTTTTCGTCGATTCACGACGATCCGATCATCCATTTACGACACCTCCCGTACCATCGTGTTCCTTGCATTGTTTCGAGTCCACCGGTGTTCTCCGTTTCTCCGTCGTCGCCGGTGCGTGGAGGGATGAGGCCGTCAAAATTTCTGACGTTTCTGAATCGAGCTCTCCGCCGTTCAAAATTGTGAACCGAACTTTGTAAGTACCTTGAAATTTTCAATCAAACCCGTACTCCTAAAATAAAATTATTCTACCTTCATATTACCTTCTCAAATAAGTCCAAACAGTCTTGGTTGTCAACAAAATCAACTATAATCTCATCAATCCCATCCAACTCGTACTCCTGAAATTTGAAAAGAAAAGACCCTAAATAACAGGAAGTTGGTAAAAAATATTTACTGAGATAGAAGGAAAATCATATCCAGAGATAAAAGAATAGATAGCTGAGAACAAGAATATACAGAATTTTGGCTTTCGAAAATAATCTGTATGCCCACTAAATGAGGGCAGCAGAGTAATGGAATCCTAGCTTAAGAGTATAGAGGTCTTGTTTTTCAATAGAACAGTACAAAAAACAGATATTGTTCAAGTAAAAGATTTATGTTGTTAACTGTAAACACTCGATTTTGACCGGATTTTATATTTTTATTTTTATAATTTATTTATTATTAATAATAATTTTTTTTATTTTATTTTTTTTTTGTAGGAACCCATGTTAACCCCATTACTCCACCACTAGTCCACTACCCTTCCACCACTACCATGCCACCATAAATCAAGGAGGGAGTTGTTTTGAGTGGAGATCAGCTAGTAACTTAGTGGGGACCCTTCAAAAGCTTGTTATTTAATGATGGGGGTTGCAACAGATCGAGGGGAGGGGACCTGTACAAACGAATAAAAAAGGGGGATTTTCTCTTTTTCTTCTCTCTCTTCGATCTCAATTTTCACGATGGTTGGGCAATGATTTACAAGTAAAAACCCAGTATAGAAAAAGAAAATGAAGAACAATACCAGCAATGCCAAGCTAATCCTCATTCATCATTGCTTTAAAAAACAAGGAAGTTCCAGCAAGCTATGGCTTCTCGCTTTCATTTCCTTCTTCACCATAGCTTTCGTTCTCACTCTCGTGTACACTGGAGAGTCGATAACCGGGAAAACCGCTGCGACGACCTGCGATCACGACCGTGTCAGGCAGTGGTAATGGTGTTACTACGTCATTGCCGACCACCGTCGTCAACATCACCTCCATTAGAGCCAACTTCGAGGATTTAATAGTTTTCGCTGTCATCGGCGTTCATTTTCAGTTGCCATCGTTGTTTACGATGGATCCATGCCCGTTTGTTCGTTTGATTGTCGAATCATTAGCTTTGAAATTCCCGCTTGCAACGACAACATGTTGAATCTTTGAAGCGTCGGTTGGAGATGGAGGGTTGTTTATTTGTTTATAATAGTCCAACTTGCACTGGTTTGGCTTTGTTTGGTGATCTTCGATCACGGTTCAACTTCTTTCGTATTCTGATTTGCACATTGATGTCATTCTTAAAGGTAATTCCAGCGGCTTTACTGGAAATGCTAGTTTGCATGGCTTCATCTACGTGATTTTCTTGCATGGTAATAGTAACTTTGTCATTAAATAGAGTGAGAATTGAAAGCAATACAAACTTGGTTAGAGCTTTTGTAGGTTGTGGACCCCGACTGCATAATTGGTGCCTCATTAGATTTAGCATGGTTAACTTTCACCTTTTCACCATTATAGGAAATCCGATTGTGATTACCAACGGGATTAGAACCAGTTCAATTTGCTTTGGGTTATTAATTGTTGCATTAGCAGTGATGTTTGTTTCCATTAACATTTTTGGAATGTTGTACACCAAGAGCGATGCTTTTATTTGTTTCCTGTTCCTCCTCTTATTTAATTATTTATTTATTTTTAATTTAACATTATTTCTTAGCTTTTTCAGTAATACTTTCAACCAATTAAAGGTAAGTAATTTGAATTAGATTTTTTTTAATTTTAATTTTAATTTTCGCTATTAAGACAACCGACAAATTGATTGGTACCGAAAGGGCGGTTCAATGGTGCTAATCCTTCCTTGACCGTAACCGACTCTTTAACTCGACATATTTCTGGTAAAACGCATATCAGGTAAGATGGTGTCTGATCAGCCTAAAT